AAGAAAGAAAACTGACAAACTTAGAAATGATCACAGCCACTCATTTTCATTAGTAGAGTTTTAGTTTTTTTCTCATTAATTCCAAATTTCCCCCAATTAATATATATTATATATTTGCCATCAGAAAAAAATTATAGTAAATGTTATTCCCCAAATCCTGAGCTGGTAATGTAGCTCAAAGGAAAAGGATTTGCCTAGCTGAATAGCTTTACTTGGCACAATAATTTTTGTCATATACTATAGGACAAGAGTATAAGATAAAGTATATGAGTTCTTCCTCTATTTTCTCATGTATATAATTTATATTTAATCTACAAAAACTGGTTGTCTGTTTCACTTCGTTACTCTCTTTCCATTTAAATATTTTGTTTTTAAGTATTTAAAAAACATTCTTTATCTAGCTAGGCATGGTGACGAATACCTTATAATCCCAGTATTCAGGAGGCTGAGGCAGGAGGAATACTGTAAGTTTGAGGGCAGTCTGGGTTACAAAATGAGACTCTTGTCTCAAAAAAAAAAAAATTCTGTGATTAATGACAAGTAATCAGTTTTTGTAATTTTTGAAAGTTCTCTTCATTTTCTTAGCTGCCATTTATTCATGATCATAGTCAGTAGATCTCATATTTTCCTAAGTCATGACTAACAGGAATATCCAATGTTTTCAATTTGGTTGATGGGGGTCAGAGATTGCTCTTTCTACAAGAAAAGTATCTTAAGGGCCAGGGATTTAACTCAGTAGCACTGGGACTCCCTGCAACCTAAGGTCCTGAGTTCAATCCCCAGTATCAAAAAAACCCAAAAAAACAAAAAAACAAAAAAACAAAAAAAAAGAAAAATATCTGAGAATATATGACAGCTTTTCAATACAGAGAATTCCATAGGTTGCACTTTTGTTCATTACTTGACACAGCCTTCACATAACATAAAATTGTTTTGCAGTATACAATTTTGTCCAGTTATTTTCATTCCAGTAACTGTCACAATGAAAACATCTATTATCAAACTCTGAAGCCTGATCCAAAGTTAAGTGGGCATCCAGACTTCCCTCTGATAGCTTCTAACCAAGACAAAGCCAAGAGATTCTTCCAACTCAGGAGGAACCTTGGCCTGGCTCTGTCCAAACTTCCGCCTTGGAAAAGTTGAAATCAAATTACAGAGATCAGCTATCTAGAGAAATCTTAAGGTAACCAATCAAAGAAATAATACCAAGCCAAAGGCATTCCTATCCTAGTTAATGTAGAAAAGACAATCAAACCCAATTGGGGAAAGCAATCATATATGTAAATAATTCTCATTCAAAGCAGATAACAATGAACCCATGAGTGAAGTACAGTAAATTATGATAATCCAGAAGTGATAAGGATTAGCTCCATTCAGTACAAAGAAGGAAAAATCTTAAGGCAGCATGTGCACAGCAAAAGAATCCTCCAACGGAGTAAAGAGACAACCCATGGAATGAGAAAATAATTTTACCAGCTACTCCTCAGACAAAGGATTAATATCTAGAATATATTAAGAACTTAAAAAAATCAGACTTCCCAAAGTTAAAGACCCAATCCAAAAATGAGCATCTGAAATGAATACACTTCTTAGATGAAGAAGTACAAGCAACAAATAAATATATGAAAAAATGTTCAATATCACTGGTGACTGGAGAAATTCAAATTGAATCAACATTGAGATTCCATCTCAGTCCGGAAAGAACGGCTAACATCAAGAAATCAACCAACAGCACATGCTGGTGAGGCTCTGGGGGAAAAAGGAACCCCTCTCTCCACTGTTGGTGGGAATGTAGACTGGTGCGACCACTGTGGAAATCAGTATGGAGATTCCTCAAAAATCTAAAACTAGAGGTTCCATTGGACCCAGCTGTTCCCCTTCTAGGTATCTTCCTGAAGACTTAAAAGCATCATACTACAGTGATACATGGATACACATATTTGTAGTATCAGTGACTGAGTGAATAAAATTGTGCCAATATTGACATCAATATGTTATGTAAGATAATTACCTTAGCAATGATCATTACCATCAGGGAATGGGGGAAGGTATATGGTAACTCCCATTTTTGTGACTTTTTGAGTATTAAACTATTTCAAAGTAAAAAAATACATAAAGAAAAATGTTTAAAGTATATGTGTCACATGAACCCGTCTTTCATGAACCTTTTCAATTAATGGAACACTATTATTCCTTACTGGTCAGCAAAGAGCAATGACAATAAAACTACATTTGTTATCCTCAAAAGTTTTAATTAAGATGATATGAAATAAAGGCGTTACATAAACAGAAATGTTGTTTTTATAAAAGCAAAGAGAATAGGGAAAGAAGCTGGAAAAGCAAAATTGGAATGGGTTAAATTTTTAAGATCAATGTGAAGGCCCACCTTGGCAAGTCTGTTCCCTAACTCCAAAACAAGTATACTCAGGTCTGCAAAAGACAGGAGAAAAGCAAGTAACTGTTTAACACAAAATGTGTACTCATACAAAATGTGTAGTAGAGATTATGTCTCAGTCGGAATTGGTCAATAAAACAGCCACTTGAAAGTACATGAAATTTAATATTCAGTGCTTCGTTTATTCTGACTACAATTCAGATGTTCAAAGCTTAGGCATGGTAGGGAATGCATGTAATCCCAGCGCTTGAGCGGCTGAGGCAGGAGAATGATAGCAAGTTCAAGGCCAGCATGGGCTACAAAGTGACTTCAAGGCCAGCCTAGAATACATAGTGAGACCCTGTCTTACAAAACAAACAGACAGATTGATCAATCACTCTATGTTTACTGTCGGACCAACCATAGGAGAACCCCCAGAAAAAAAATGGGGTGGGGACAAGGATCAAACTCAGGACCTTTTACTTGCAAGGCAGGCACAATGCCACTGAGCTAAATCCCTGGCCACAGAAAATTTTAAAACATATGGAAACTTAGTAATATACTCCTGAACACCCAGTAGGTCACAAAAGAAATCAAGGCAGAAATTAAACAATGTCTGGAATCAAATAACAATGCCAGTACAATACACCAAAATGTATAGGACACACTGAAAAGCAGCCCTGAGAAGGAAGTTTATCGTAATCAATACTCACATTAGAAATACATGAATAAATCTAATAACTGGTTCCTTTAAAGAAGAAAAAAAATAGACAAACCCTTAGCCAAACTTACCAAAAGGGAGAAAAAGCACCTCAATCCAATTAGAAGTGAAAAAGATGAAATCACAACAGATACCATCTAAAACCAGAAAAGCCAGGGATGTGGCTCAGCAGCACAGCACCTGCCTGGCAAGAGAAGGTCCTGAGTTTGATTCCTGGTATAAAGAAAAAAAACTTTTTTTAAATAAAACCAGAAGACAGTAACTACGAGGAAAAATTATCGTCCAATAAATTAGAAAATCTTGAAGAAGTAGACAGATTACTAGACACATATGAATTACCAAAACTAAATTAAGAAGACATAAAAATTCTCAACAACACAATAACAAGCAATTAAACTGAGGCAGTAATAAAAAAAAACAACAAAAAAACTACCAACTGAAAAGCCTAGGACCCTGACAGATTCAATGCTAAATTCTACAAAACCTTGAAGGGTGTTTTATTACCAA